ATTTTTGGCCTCTGGCGGAACCACTGAGCGGTGGCTAGTTGCGTCAACTCTTCCAGCGAGGAGAATTCATGGCGCCTTATGAAGAGTTGGTACTCCGGCAGTAGGTTCTCGTAAATCCTTTCGAGTTCCTGTTCGAACGAGTAATTTGCCCGCTGCATCATCAGGCGTAGTTCTACCACATAGAACTTGAAAGGCATCCTCCAGGCGCTGGTAGTACCGTGGAGGGAGGAAAAACTCAAAGAACTCCCGCTTGAAAGTTTCCCAGGGCACGGCGTGCATCTGGTAGGCTTGGTACCAGCCTTCGGCGCGGCCCGATAGTAATCCAGTGATGGCCCGTGGGATGTCGCTGTTACGTACGCTGTATGCTGTAGCGCCTTCCTCGACTCGTTCCTTAAAGTGCAGGGGGTCGGCTTGCCCATCGAAAAGGACGCCCCATCCCCGAAGCTTCTCGGCGAACGCGGCTGCTGACATGTGCTGGGGTGGCGATTGGGCCGCGGGGTTGGAGCCTTGGGCTCCACGTCCTGGGCTCGTGTGACGATGTTCTGGGGGTGGCACGGAGAGAAGGGTGTCCCCTGCGCCGGGCATCGGTGAGGAGCCTCCGGGTAGATGGCCTCCAATGCGGCAAAGCGTTTCCGGAGCGCCGGGCTGTGGTTGGACCCTCCAATGAACGATGCAAGCCGGGGTCGCAGTTCGTCCACCTGGCCGTGGGTGTTCAGACCGAACTCCTTGTTCGGATGCGTCGTCGGAGAAGCTCCCCTCCTCGATCTGTCTGGCGGCTGACGGAGCTGGTTTTTGTTCTGCGTCCCCGACGCTTTCTGTTCCAGGTCCGTTTTCAACGGTCGACCCGGTGAACGGTGTGGCTGGGTGCCCGCTGCTGTTGGGCCTCTGAGTGGGTGTAAGTGGGTAAGCGTTCGGGGTGCGGCGCTGCTGAGCTCTGGGATCGCTCCTGATGTGAGCGGTCTCTGGGAGCGCTCTCGGTAAGCGGCGCAGGTGGCCCGCTGGGATGCTCCTGATGAGCGTGGATTCCGGAGGGCCCTCAGTAGGCGGCGCTCAGGCGGCGGCGCTCAGGTGGCGGCGCGGCTGGACTCCGGAGTGCTCCTGATGTGAGCGGGCTGGGTAAGCGCTCGGGGTGCGGCGCAGTTGGTCGCTGGGATGCTCATGGTAAGCGGCGCAGTTGCGGTTCCGGTCCGGCAAGCGTTCGTATTGCACAGAAAAAGCCTCGGAAGCGCAATACGGGAACTTGTCCGACGCGAACGAGCACGCGGACAGCCTCGTCGTCCGTGTTGCGTAGAAAAAACAAACCTCGGAAACGCAACACGAAAACGGGGCCGCCACAAATTAACTCGAGAGGGCTTTTCGACTGGGCTAGTGGGCGATCGGGGGGGGAAACGCGGGGAAATCGACGGAAATTTTCCCGTCCGGCAAGCGGTAGTTTTGCGCAGAGTAAGCCTCGGAAACGCAATACGGTAACTTGTCCGACGTGAATAGGCACGCGGTCAGCTTTGGCGTCCGCGTTGCGTAGAGAAAACAAACCTCGGTAGAGAAAACAAACGCAACTCAGAAGCCTCACTGCCCCGAAAAGCCCCTCCGCGAAATTCACTGAATCTTATAAGCCAGGCTTGGGGTTTTAGATTTTTCACGAAGTTTGCTTCCCTTTATTATAATTCTGATTTTTCTCCCTAACCTGAGCATGAGTAGAAAAGGCCGGCGATAGTTTCCCGCGCTTTTCTCCAGTCTGGTAAGGGCGTATTGCGTAAAGAAAATAAACCTCGGAAACGCAACACAGGAACTTGCCCGACCTGGAGTAGCACGTGGGTAGCTTTGGTGTCCGCGTTGCGTAGAGAAAACAAACCTCAATAACGCAAAAAACACTCCGCGAAGTTCACTAAATTTTAAGAGCCAGACTGGGGGGCTTAATTTCACAACTTTATGTTCCGTTTATTCACTTATTATTTCTCCCTAACCTTCGCACTCAGTATGTGGGTTTCTGGTCTCTGCTTCTTATCTTACTCTAGAGCTTGGTATGGTGTTGCCGTTCCGCGGGTTTTCTGTCTTCCTGGTCTGTTCAGTTCGGCTGCCGTAAAAGAAAGAGACCGATCTCCGTCAATCGCGGTTCCACGTCGACACGCTTTTTCCCTTTACAGCACGCTCGCGCTATTAACAGCACTAAGCTTGCCCTTAATCGCACGCTTTGCGTTTAACAGCACTTGTTCACGGGTGATTGCGATAACTTATCGATACTGTCGGCATTCGCCCCGACTGGCCAACTGACCGATCTTGCTAATCAATACTGGTAACCTCGCGCGCGCATATTTGACCCCAGGATAACTTGAGTTTTAGGCTTAAATATATACTTAACATCTAGTGAAACTTCAATGGCTGGAACTTAATAATGCCTTCAGTGGCTGAGATACTGGGTAAGTGTTTGAGATGAGAGGCGCCTTTAAGCGTCCTCACAGGGTATTATAATTTCAGTCAGTGAAGGAGACATTTCCCACCCTATAAAGTATAGACATTCTTGATCAGCATTACCAACAGTCGATCTAGCCATGTCCGTCTGTCCGTCTGTCTATCCGTCCGTCTGTCCGTTTCTATGCAAACTAGTCCCTCAGTTTTAAATCTGCTTGAAACTTTCCCAAAAGTTGTACAGGTAGTATATGAGTCGGAACGAGCCAGATCGGGCGACTATATCATATAGCTCCCATAGGAACAATCGGAAAAACAAATTCAAAAAAATTAGAACTTTGTTGTTTTTATTTTTTTTGTTCTTTGGGACTTGGTAATATTTAAATAGCATGGAATTACGGTCTTCATTAAACAAAAATCGGACAACAATATCATATAGCTGCCATAGAAACGATGGTGAAACAAATTCGACATATTTCATTGTTTTTAGTTATATAGGCATATTAATCGAAATGTAGTCGATTTTTAATAACTGGCAGTTAATAACTCCAAGGGTATATAAACTTCATCACTCTTTAATCAGCATTTGCTGATGAACATGCGAGGAAATAGTGATTAAAATACGATGAATTAGTGATTAAAGAGTGATGAATTACTGATTAAAGGGTGATGAATTAATCAGTAATTTATCACTCTTTAATCAGTAATTCATCACATTTTAATCACTATTTCATCGCTTTTTCATCGCATTTACATCGCTTTTTCATCACATTTTCAGCGCCTTTTCATAGTTTTTTCATCGCTTTTTTTTTTTATCAGTAAAATTCATTCAGTAAATTTTCATATAAATTTCATTTTATTTTGTTACATTATTTCATTATTATTTTATTGATTTCATTACATATAACTAATTAATTTAACTTAATTCAATCTACATATGTACGTTTATAGTTTTCTCGGAGGTGTGAGGATGTTTCGTTTTGGGTGCTCTTTTTTGACTTCGCGCTTTATGTACTGGCTTTTCCTGACCAAGTATATCTAAAATAGATAAATTATTATAAAATATATAATATATTACTGCGTTTCTTGTTCAAGTCCAGCTTAGTTTATGCTGGCCCAACAGTTTTATTATAAGCTTCGCCTTAAATAATGAATACATATATTAACAGTATATGTAGGTACAGTTCAAAATAATTAATAAAATAAAACTTACCTAAATTTCTGATAAATTTAGTTATAAAATTTCACAAAAAATCTCAGCTTCGATATGTTCTCTCCATTCTCACAAATGCAAGTGCACGTAAAAACGGCAAAAACAACTTCAGTTGAAAACAAGGGCAACGGTTATCCTATAATTCTTTCCTTTGCCTAATTTGTCTCTACATGTTTCGCTTAGCGTCAAAGCAGGGTATATAAAAGCAAAATATGCAAAATATTTACATAACTTAAATTCATTTAAAAAAGGAATCCATACCTTTCAAAACTATCATAATAATTTTATTTTTAAAAAGTATTTCCATAAAATAATATAATTAATAAGAATCAACTACAATACAAAAATTATGCTAATTTAATGTATAAAGGTCGATGTGATTTTAATACATTGTCCTCCACCTATCAGCTCATTTTATGGGGAGAGAGACAGAGTAAGAGAGGGAGATGGAAATTTTTCTGCGTTTCCTACGATCGGGGACTGAGAGTTTCGGCTCTGCCTGCGCCGCACTCGGCTCTGCCGACTTTGCCGGCGTCGCAGTCCGCTGCTGATGAAAGGGCGATGAATTTTTGTAGTGATGAATTTCGGAACTCCAGAGTATTTATCTAGGGAATCATGGACAAGGCTTATACCTCAATATTTTGAATGACAACCTTAAAAAAGTGCCTCAAACCTAAGCATGCCGAACTCATTCACATGTATGCATGATAATGATCCAAAGATGTTCGCATGTGGCTCACGTACAATACCGCACACGTTCTGCAGCATTCCCCACAATCACCTGATCTCAACTCTATCGAGCACCTGTGGGAGAATTTGGATAGAAATATAAGAAAACAAAACAGCTTTGATGACCAAAAAACTGATACAATCCATGCCTAGACGTCTCGAAGATGTCATTAAACGAAAAGGACCACCAGCCAAATATTAAATTATAAGTTAAATTTAAAAAATAGTATATATATAATAGTATAAGACTTTTGTGTCACGAAAAAAATTCCTTTTCATTTAAAAATAAAATGGCTTTAATAACGTTATAGAAAATTAAAAATTAATGGTGTCTTTCAAATAAAAAATCTTTTATTTTACCAATTAAAAAAATCAATTCATTAAAATGTCACACAAGCCTAAAAATAACATTTAAAGTCAAAAATGGCAAGTGTGCCAACACTACAGAGCGGGACTTTATAAGTATCAGAAAAATCCCAGGTGTCCCAATACTAGTGTTCTGGGAACTATAGTCCTTATTTTGGTTATTTAATTTAATGAATTAGTAATTATTTTATCAGTATGTTAGATAAAGAAAATTATTCTTAAAGTTCAATGTGCTTCATATGCAAAGATATGGTCACCCCAAGCCATAAGCAAAAATTCAAAATTGTTTTTAAAGTTCTTAATTATTTTGTATTTATAACTATGAAGATTTTATTTGGAAATATATTTGTTTTGTATAGATAAATCTTTTCCATCGTATGTAATGCCTTCATAGAAAAACTTTCGATTTGAGCGACATTGAGGACCACACCTAGTAGAGCCACAACTTGGACATTCAAACCAGCAACCATCACAATCTTTATTTATACAGTCGCCTGAAACAAAATGTTTTCATTTTGAATTTATACAATTGGTTGCACTCACAAATATCTAGTCCGTTGAATCGAATATTTCCGTATTCATCATATGCACTATTTTTTCCAAAATATTGACCTTTTTTCTTTCCTTTTCTTTTATTTTTTTCTGAATCTAATATCGCGTCATTGTTAGAGATACCTTTTCTGCTTTGTCGCTGTCGCAGATTGCGACCTATAGAATAGTCAGGATCAATAAATGAACTCATATCGGAGGAAAAGCATTTAAATGAATAACTAAAGTAGTGTGACCGGGATTTAAATAAAAATGAAATAAAAATATATATTTTACTAATAGCAAGTGCACACTACAGCACTTCTGCAATTGAAGGAAATGTAAGTAAATAACGGCTTGTATAATCAAAGACGTGCGTCTTAAGAAAACATTGGTATATGCGAACTCAATTTCACTTTCCTCGGTAAAGTTTTGTGACACATATTATTTGATTATCAATAAATGAGCTAACTGCCTATCGGTCGCCGTGGGCGAGAACGTGTTGTCTAGGGCAGATCAAATGTTTACCAGCTTCACTTATATTTGTCCTTGTGTATAAGTGTGTACAAATTAAATAGAAAAGATTTAAGGAAAATATAATTCAAATATTTTTCTTATTAAACTAAGATTAATTATATTTCCTCTTGATACCGATAGAAACTATTTACACATTAGGAAAACGCAAAAGCTAAGACTAAGATATTTTGATTCAGATTATTTTGATTTTGCAGTAAAGGATAACACCCAAGTCACACAGATCAATTTACTTGGAACGGTTGGGAAATTTACCAGATATGAAACTCGTGTTTCCACTGAGCCATCCCTCACAATCCAAAAAAGGCGGACAACATTCAACGGCTTGCGTTTACTACTTTTCTGAATGGGGTCTCTCGACTGTATCAAACTTTTTCCCTTTGGCTAGATATCTTGACGATACCATGGATAACGTAAGACAGGTTATAACACCATTTTATTTGCACAACAATGGTGCACCCATCACCCGGTTTAGAATACACCTAACTGTTCACAAAAACAAAGACCTTCCTTTTGTGAGGCAATAAATAGGTTATAGAAAAAAATCAAACTGTTATTAACTGTTGCAGGATTATTTTAAGATCTTAAGATTAAGATGCTTAACCGCCCATTTCCATGTGTAAGGCAAAATATGCAAATCGAGGTAAAACTACGGGAACAGAAAGACAACTTTTGGAAAAGATAGCTTTACAACTGAGGGACTAGTTTGCGCAGACGGACGGACGGGCAGAAAGACTCTGCAAGGGAATAAAAATTGTTCCCATATTGGTTTCAAGGCTGAGAGTACCAATATGTACTTGGCAATCTAGCTATTTATTATACCCTTGCAGAGGGTATTATAATTTCAGTCAGTGAAGGCGACATTTCCGACCCTATAAAGAATATACATTCTTGATCAGCATTACCAACAGCCGATCTAGCCATGTCCGTCTGTCCGTCCGTCTGTCCGTTTCTATGCAAACTAGTCCCTCAGTTTTAAATCTGCTTGGCATATATAGGCATATAAATCGAAATGTAGTCGATTTTTAATAACTGGCAGTTAATAACTTCAAGGGTATATAAACTTCATCACTCTTTAATCAGCATTTGCTGATGAACATGCGAGGAAATAGTGATTAAAATACGATGAAATAGTGATTAAAGAGTGATGAATTACTGATTAAAGAGTGATGAATTAATCAGTAATTTATCACTCTTTAATTTAATGATGAATTACTGATTAAAGAGTGATGAATTAATCAGTAATTTATCACTCTTTAATCAGTAATTCATCACATTTTAATCACTATTTCATCGCTTTTTCATCGCATTTTCATCGCTTTTTCATCACATTTTCAGCGCCTTTTCATAGTTTTTTCATCGCTTTTTTTTCATCAGTAAAATTCATTCAGTAAAGTTTCATATAAATTTCATTTTATTTTATTACATTATTTCATTATTATTTTATTGATTTCAT